ACTGATATTTTTTTTTTTTAAAAAAAAAGTAAAAAATAAAAAGATAAAGATAATTTTTTAATTAGTATCACTAGCCCGCACCATGCCATTCTTCTCCGGCCCACTGGTCGACAACAATTTTATGCGACGGATCTAGTCAGGAAGGCGACTTCGGTCGTCAATCTCTCATTTCGTCTCCTTGTTTGATATGTATAGTTTTCGTGGTTGAACTGGAGTTTACATGATTTGTAACTTTATTTTAAAATTATGGATTTGTAACTTTATTTTTTATCTTTGGATTTGGGGATTGGCTTGTGCATTGGGATGGTTGGCACGAGCCGCAAATTCGATCGCTAGAAGTATGGGATGAATAATGTAATGACTGAGTGAAATTTTTAATGGAATGGGACCCACCATGTGTACTAATTACACAAATTGGCATCTGCACATGGGTCACTTGGAGTCAATGCTGAAATGTCCATCCCTCTGCCAATTGCTTTGATCCCATACTGCCAATTACAAACGCGTGAAGACAGTTGGCTACCACTTGATGAAATTGTTCATCATCTTTCCCTATAAATATGTATGCTCAGGCAGAAGAGAATAGACACCAAAATAAGAAAGAAAGAAAGAAGAAAGAAAGAGAAAGGAAAGAAAAGATATATTTATGTCCAAATATTGGATATAAAAATATCAAAAGAGAAGAAACAAGTGATATTTTTATTTGTTTTATTATATTCTTTTTAATTTTAAGTGCTCAATTCTCGACTCCGTTCTAGTTCGCCGGAGCTCGTAAACCTGGTGTGCTACAGATTTAGAGACGTTTGTCGTTGTATCTTTGGGAAGTTACGCCTGAACCGTTAGCTGCTACACGGGGCATATTCTTCTTGCGGAAAGAGTTTTACTCGCCTCGGCTAAAATCTTTCCGTTTTTCAGCTGTATTTTTTTTTCAGTTTGTAATTTTCTGTTTTAGATTATTTGTAAGAACTGAAAAATACATATCAGTTCGTAGGATTCCCGTGTAATTTCACACCAAGTTTCCAACAATCGCAAGAAGAATATTTTGTCCTACAAAACTGATGGCTTCCACCGGAGCACGTTCCAGCTCTCAGCAGCCGATCAACAACTCTGTTCAGCATTATCATAATGTACATGCTATTCAGGTCCCGACTGCTGAAAAACCCAAAAAATCAACGGGCTTGACTTCAAGAGATGGCAGCAGAAGATGCATTTCTACCAAACCACCTTAGGTTTGGCAAAATATCGAAGGATGATCCCCCTCTTGTTGCTGAAAATGAAACCAACGCTGAACTACGTGCTGTACGAAGCTTGGGGGCAAGGTGATTACCTTTGCCAGAATTATGTCCTGAATGGACTTAGTAACGAATTGTACAATGTGTACAACTCTGTTGGTTCTGCCAAGGAGCTTTGAGCTGCCTTGGAAAAGAACTACAAGACAGAGGATGTCGGGGCGAAGAAATTCGTCATCGGCAAATTTCTTGACTTCAAGATGGTCGACACGAAAACTGTCGTGTCACAAGTGCGAGAGTTCCAGCTGATCTTGCACGATATCCATGCTGAAGGAATGTCTCTGAGCGAGTCTTTTCAAGTAGCGGCTGTGATCGAAAAGCTGCCGCCAGGCTGGAAGGACTTCAAGAATTATCTCAAACACAAGAGAGAGGAGATGAGTCTTGAAGACCTGGTTGTTCGTCTTCGTATTGAGGAGGATAACCGTAATTCATCAGGAAAAATCTCGATGATCGAAGCTCGTGCCAACTTGTTAGAGCAAGGCAACTCGAGCAAGAGGAAGTCCCTTAACAAATGGAAGCAGCTCGCCAAGGTTTGAAAGTTTACTGGCAATTGCCACAACTGTGGAAAGCCAAACCATATGACCAAGGACTGCAGGAAGCCTAAGAAGGCTGGGTCAAAGAAAGGGCAACCTAGTGCTCTATCTCTGAACACGGCCCTGCGCCGGGTGAATTAACCGACTTTGATATGTTAGTTGTGGTTTGAAGTCAATTTGGTGGATAACCCAAGGGAGTGGTATATTGATACTGGTGCTACTCGTCATGTGTGTTCCGATAAGGAGGTGTTCTCTGAATACACTCCTGCTAAGGGTCGAAAACTTCACATGGGAAACTCCTCCACGTCTGATGTGGCTGGAGTTGGCACAGTGGTTCTGGAGCTCACTTCTGGAAAAGAGTTGAAGCTTAAGGATGTTATGCATGTCCCAGACATCCGCAAGAATTTGGTCTCCGGATCTCTTCTTGTTGAGCATGGATTTAGGCTGGTGTTTGATGCTGAGAAATTTATTCTTAGCAAGTTTGGAAGATTCCTTGGTCGTGGCTATCTCGACAAGGGACTATTCAAAATGAATGTAATGGCTGTAAGCCGTGTAACCGTTTTCAGTGATAATGTAAAGCCTAATTCTATTTATACCGTTGAGTGCTCTGATTTATGGCATATTAGATTGGGACATGTAAATCTAAATGCAATTAAATGGTTGATGAATTTAGAATTAATTCCTAATTCTAAAATTGAATCACATAGGAAATGTGAAATTTGTATTGAAGCAAAAATGGCTAAGTTGCCTTTTCACTCGATGGAAAGGAGTATTGAACCATTAGACTTGATCCATATTGATGTAAGTGATATGAAAAGTATGCAAACAAGAACGGGTAAAAAGTATTTTATTACTTTTATAGATGATTGCATAAGATTTTGCTACTTATATTTGTTAAGAAGCAAAGATGAGGCTGTGGAAGCATTTAAAGTCTATAAGACCGAAGTTGAAAATCAACTCGGCAAAAGGATAAAAATAATCCAAAGTGATAGGGATGGGGAGTATGTAGCTCCTTTTGAACAAATATGTTCTGAATATGGCATAATTCATCAAACGACAGCCCCCTATTCTCCGCAGTCGAACGGTGTTGTTGAACGCAAAA